TGTGTGGCATGGAACTGCTCAGTAAGTGGGTAGCATTGCCTATGGCAGACGAGCATAGTTCAGAGCCAGGATACCAGGCTAACCTTAGGGTTAGAAAAGGGAAAAGGAACCTGGTTATCTCATCTTGAGTCTTTGGTATGGAATATAAGCTTCAAACTCTCTAAAGGAGTAATCCTGCGATTCAAACCCAAAACATCACACCTTTGCCTAGAACCAGCAAAGGCTTCCTACCCCTGAGGAAGCAAATCTGAACTTCTCACCTTGACCTAGAAGACTGTCCTTACTTAGCTGGGCTGATTATTTGAATCTCACCTTTCATTGCTCCCCCTTAACCCTCTGCCTTGGCCAGAGAGGAACCTTTCAGCTTCTGTAATGCTTTGCCTGGTTAAATGTCTCCTCTTAGCAAAAGCTTCTGCCCCAAAGTTATGCAAGTAAGAAAGGAAATAAAGGTGAAACTTGTGGCTTTTTTATGAGGTTTTCACTGTTTTCCCCTCTCACTTATTACCTAATGGAAATACGGGAACTAGGAGGGTGGAGGGAGGGGGTAAGGACATGTGTGTTTTCTGGCTACTTCTCCTCTGTAGCAAGTGCTGGTGTGTGAAGGAAACCCTCTGACAGGTGTCCAGCCAGGTCCAAGTGCCTCTGGGCTTGTGTTCAGGTGTGCAGAGAGCAGGACTGTTCTTCAGAAATCTCATCATGTCCTTGAGGGGATGGCCATTTGGAAAGCTTTTATTCTCTTGGATGGATGGCAGAAAGAGGTGGGGACAGCATAATCTTCGAATGTGGCCACCACTATAAAATGCCAGTCCAACTGACCAAACGTCTGTGCCCCTTCACTTGTGGGAAGCCGCCTTACCTACCCTGCCTTGGTGGGCGTCAGAGGTGGGCTCCTGGGAGCAGACTTTGCGTGCGGGAGGTCTGTGACAAGGAGTCTCAGCACCCACATCTGTACAAGGGAGGTGTGCAGGAGGGGGCAGATGAAGGGAGGAGGGTGACCCAGGAGAAAGGAGGAGAAAGTGAGCTCAGTGACACATGGAGGCCTGGGCCTTCCTGGGCAGCGGGGCCCGGGGCCACAGTGTTCCCGAGTGTGGTTGTAGGTGGAGGATGGAGGCCAGCTGTTGTCCACCCTCAGCATCACTGATGTCCCTGCATCTCTTTGTCTCACAGATTTCCCATCAACAGTGAAATGGGGCAGAGTCCATGAACATACCGGAACATATTGCGTGATTCCTTTTTATGAAATGTCTAGAAAAGGGAAATGTATAAAGAGAGAAGATTCGTGGTTGCCCATGGCTGGGGACAAAAAGGGGAAGTGACTGCTAATGTCCATGAGGTTTCTCTAAGGGATGATGGAGAGGCTCTAAAATTAGATGTGGCAATGATATCACAGCCCTGTAAATTTCCTAATAATTATTCTATCGTAAACCTAAAACGGGTGGACTTATGGTACTTGACTACTTTAACAGTGTGGTTGAGGGAGGGGTGGGCCCTGCCTCTCCCTTTCCACAAGTTAAATGTTCAGATTTGTGATTTGGGAGGAACTTTGGTGTTCAGGGAAGACAGGTTGGGACAAGGAAGAAACTCAGCAAATGAACCTTCCCTGCTTGTCTATCCTTGCCACGGTCCCTTTCCATCGTAAGTGGGGTCCTTGGCTCCAAACCCTCCCGTGGTTCACATCCAGTGCAGGCCCAAGGCACAGTAAAAGCTGGGTGGCCCCTGGCCGTCAGGGTCCTTCCTCTGAGATCTGAACTCCTGGTATCCTCCCCCTCAGGGCCTCTCAGCCCAGCCGCTCCCTCCCTGCTGGGTTATTCTCTGTGTCATTCTCTCTCTGTTATCCTTCACCTATTTCCTCTAGGATGTCAGCTCTCTGAGGATGGGGGTTTGTCTCCTTTACGGTCCAGACTATCCTCATGCCCAGAATTACGCCTGGCAAGGAGGAAGGGCTCAACAGGAGGATTTTGAATAAATGAATTAACTAATTAATATGAATCCATGGTCCTGGAAACATGAAATCATAGACATCTCATTCTTTGAGGTTCCTCCCAGTGGAATTCCAAAGCTGAGAGTGAGGAGAAGCAGGACAGCCTGACCCCAGACATTCTTTAAGATGCCACCACGGTGGGCTCAGAGTCAGGTGCACAGGAGGCATCTCGACCCGGAGTCTTCTCCGCCCTGCCCCACCTGTCTGTTCCAGGTGCTGTTTTCTAAGGCTTGGAGCCTTCTGCTTCTTTTCCTGGGCCCTTGAGATCCAGCGGTTAACACAGCTGTGCTTGTTTGGATACTGTAGGGGTCAGGGAAATGGGCTGGCAGCTTGGGGCTGGGAGGACACTAGTGCCTGGAACAGGGACTTGGGGGCCTGATCATTCCAGGCTCCCCATGAGGACAAAAATACCCATTCAAGAGCTTGGAAATGCAAGCAAGTGCTTTATTCCAAACTACAGGAAGTTTGTTATTGAAGACACAGTGTGCTTCTTCATTACGTGGGACACGTTTGCACACACACTGTCATGATGAACTGAGACCTGTGTTTGCTCTGTGATGGAGCCTAATTACCCACCCCTTTCATTTGCATAAGACTTTAAATCTCTTTAAAGTGCTTTCCTAGACAATTCTCTCATCTGAAGCTCAAGATGCATTTTTATCGTGAATGAGCTTCGTATATTGTACATATTTTATGTATTTTCTATTCTTTTGCCATCCCCCAATAAACCAACAGACTCTTCAGAGATGTTAGGCATCGGTTTTGAGTAAGTACAGTCCAATCTGTCACTCACTTGTCTGTTCTAGCTCTCTTTCTCTTGGCTGTTTTGGGGGTTGGGTTTGATTTGTTTCAGTTTATTGGTTGAGTTTTATGTTTGCTTGTTTGTTAAGCCCTCCTTGCTTTATCTTCCTACTGATTTATGCACCTATAGACTCTGGTTTTCTGCCTTCCCCACCATATTGAGTCTTTTGTCTTCCTAGAAACCAAACGATCATTTATTTCTCCTCTTCTCTGACCCACACAGTGTCTGTAAAGCAGGGTGCATCTAACATGCCTTTCTCCCTTCCCCTACACTGCCCATCTGAAATACTCTCTCTGCCAGCTAGGAGAGGTGCAAGGCTCTTATGTAACCTCTCTGAACTCTCTTCACTGGTGAAGGCGGACTCAGGTTTACTTGGAAGATTTGTTGCAAATACTAGAGCTGACACGTATGTAATACCCAGCCTATTAGCCAACATATGCTTAACACGTCATTATTACAGTAGCTGGTGACGGTGAAGGCAGTGGAGTGATAGAGGCAGTGGTAGGAACGTGGTCTTCACAACGGTCTTGTTGACAATGGCTCATAAGAGTATATCTCCCACTAATGGACCCAAATTTAACTTGTCTTTCCTGTTGAACACTTGGGTTGCTTTTCATTTTCTGCCCCTTATAAATCATGCCTCACTAAACATCTTCCTGCATGCAGTGTTCATTTTCTTTTGAATGCGGTGTTTGGATGCCTTCCTAAGAGCTGAATTATGGAGAAAAGGGCTGTGTACATTCATAAGGCTCTTGATAAATAAATATTGCCTAATTGCTTTCCACAAGGGTGCTATCAATTTGTGCTCCCACTGAAACCAAGAGAATAACTATTTATAGATGCTTTCAGAGCCTTAGCCTGTTTCCTGTTTGACTTTTCTTACGTAAATGTTCTTTTAAAACTATAATGTACACAAATACGGACAAATACACAGGCACACTCTCTCACACACTTTCATGGGGCCATGGGGTCGAGCATAATATGGAACTCTCATTTATCAATCACACTATCTTGATAGAAACATGTTGTCAACGTTGAAAGGCTTAGTTCTGATGATACAGAAAATGATTTTAATTTGTATGTGTCATTAAAGAAATTGGTTGACGTGTTGAACATGGGATTCTGTTTTCAATTCCTTCAGTCTTCCGATCAGGTCAAGGACAAAGTCTCAGCCTGCTGTTTACATCTTTTAAACACATCTCTAGCCTTTGCTTAACTTCCCTTTAAACCACTATTTTTCAAGCTTTTTTTTTTTTTTTTAATCTCACCACACACTTGAACCTATAGTTTAACTTCTTTGGCAGATGTAAGTTAATCAAAAAAAAAAAAAAAAAGAGTAAACAAAAAAGCTACTTACTTTGCTTTGAACTTCCTTCAAAAATAATTTAGTTAATGATCTTTACAAATTTCCGTGGCACACTTAAGATCTTTTCATAGCACACCAGTGTGCTGTGGCACATCAGTTGAAAAAATCACTGCTTTAAACAGAGGAGTTTTCTCTTTATGGGTAATGGTTTTTTAGCTTGAATTTAATAATATCATCTGGTCTCCAGTATGTTCATTTTTATGTTTTCCTTCTTTTTATGTAAAGGGATTTATTTAAAATAATGATATAAAGTTTTCATTGTTGAACACATTTGTTTAAAAATGTGAGTTACAGATAGGGCAAAAATCCTGACAGTATTACCCCAGTGATTGAAATTGGGACATACTACCTGACAAATGGATTCTAACGATTGCCCCTCTGGTGATAATAATATTATCCCTTGAGAAAAACATATTCTTTGAAATAAACTTTGTGACTATCCCTTCATTCCTATTCGTTTGAAAGTTAAAGGTCTTGCATTCGGCCATGAAGAGTTGCTTTTTATGTCCAGTGCCTTCTCTGGGTCCCTGTCCCAGTGAGTAATCCACTTGTTGTAGGTTAAGAATAGTAATATGTGACCACTGAAGGATGTATAAATCAAGACTGACATTGTCAATAGAGTGATTCAGAAGATAGGATTAAATAGCTTAATAATAGTAATTGGGAAGCACAATGTCAGCTTTTGTATAATTCTAATGATGTACTTTGTGACACTAATGAGGTTTGATAAAATAAAATTAACAATGTCCAAACAGCTGTATGCTTTCACAACAAAGGAAGCTTATCTCAGAGAAGATTGATCAAGCTTTCCTTGGGAGATTTTAGTTAATTGATTTTGTTTTCTCTTTTAGGATATATTTAAATTTGCACGAACTTCTCCTGTTCCAAGACAAAAGAGGTCCATTGTGGTATCTCCCATTTTAATTCCAGAGAATCAGAGACAACCTTTCCCAAGAGATGTTGGCAAGGTAAGTCAGACAGAGGACAAATGGCAAAAGCATGTTTGTATTAGAAGTTGGAGGCTGGGTGCAGTGGCTCATGCCTGTAATCCTGGCATTCTTGAGGGCTCAGGTGAGAGGATCACTTGAGCTCAGGAGTTCGAGACCAGCCTGAGCAAGAGCAAGACCCCACCTCTACTAAAAATAGAAAAATTAGCTGGGCATTGTAGTGGGCACTTATAGTCTTAGCTGAGGCAGGAGGGTCGCTTGAACCCAAGAGTTTGAGGTTGCTGTGAGCTATGATGCCACTACACTCTACCCAGGGTGACAGAGTGAGACTCTGTCTCAAAAAAAAAAAAAAAATTGGGCACACATGAGTTAAGCTGACTGTGACTGTCTCAGTGATCACCTGGAATTGGTCTTAATTCCTCTAAGAGGTTAAATGATTTTGGCATGAAAAGAATTTTGAAAAGTCATCCAATAAAAACAACAAAAACAATGTGATAAGAGAAAATAAGAAAAACTTTAAATATCATGATGTGTAGACTGGCATGGTAGGTGATGAAAGATATCATGGTTAAGAAGTAGATTCATTGCTTTTATAGATTCTGTCCAAGATATCAGCCACATAGGGCCCCTAGGAGAGCACTGTGTTGTTATGTGGTCTTTAATGATGATCTGTTCTTCAAATGTCTAGATCCATGAAGACCATTGGTTTAGCCTTCTAAAAACTAAATCAGATCAAGGGAACTAAATCACACTACCAGATCAGATCCAGAAAACACTTTCAGATAAATCAGAATAATAGCTTATCCAGGAAGAAATAGCCATTGTTAAATGGGCCAAAATACTGATGTTGCCTTTTCAGAATATTTACTCTCCATAAGACAGAGAACATGGAGAATAAAATTTTGCCAATTTGTACTTTGTGGTAAACCTGGCATTTGAAAAAATGGTGGTTAATTTAATAATCTTAATGACTGGTGCTATTGCTCTGTTAATTCATTCATTAAATAAATATGCAATACTTGTTATATGACAGACTTGAAGCTTGGGATTGGGCTTACATAGCTGTGAAGAAGCAGATGATAGAGCTTTTACTCTAATGGGGAGATGGACAGTTCAAGGAATAAATAAGTTAAATAAGAAAATAGCAGAGCTTGAAAATTGTTGTGCAAAAACAGAAACAGAATGACGTAGAGAGAGAGCAAATGGGTCATGGAGTATAGGAAGGAAGGAGTCTCTGTGCACAAGCCTGGAGGTGGGAAAGAATGGAGCCTGTTGGGACAGTAACGTGCCTGGGTAGTAGCATCGTGGTGAGCAGGGTCTGCTAAGCTTTGAAATCAGAGATGCTGGCCTGTCTTAGCAACTGTGTGGAGGGGCAGAGGTTTCATCATACAGATAGCAAGAGACCACTGAAAGATCTTCCCAGGAAAGTGTGTGCTTTCAAAGATCTTCCTAGCTACCTTGTAGAGAATGCTTTATTGGTGCAGAGCAGTTGGCAGGAGGTTATTAGAAATCCATTTTTACTGATAATTAAAAGAAGTAATAATTCAGTGTTCTGATAATCACTAGCAGGGGTGTCCAACTTATGGCCCACAGACTGTGTGCAGATTACTCAAGGACTGTTTTGCTTGTCTGTGATGTTAGGTATCATGAAAAGTTACACACTTTTCTTTTGCTCATCAGCTTTTGTTAATGTTTGTGTATTTACTGTGTGGGCCAAGACAACTCTTATTCCTCCAATATGCAGCAGAAAAGAAAACAGGTCGGACAGCCTTGCATA